TCTATCCCTCCCTCCCTCCCTCTCTTCTATCTATCCCTCTCTCACTCTCCTCCCCCCTCTGCCTCCATCTCTCTCATGAGCAGATGTATGAAATAGAAGTTACACAGTAAATCCTAAATGCATATCTTAATAAAAGAAGTAAGCTAACATTTAAACTCAACTAAAAATTACTCTTTTAAGTTAACCTAAATTTGTGCTGTATTTTAAATATTTAATTCCAGTTTGTTCTATTGACTCATTTTCTTTAAGTTGACAAATATGTAATTGTTACTTTATTCAGATAAATTCTAAACATTTTAAATAAGTTTGGAGAAATGCTGTTTAATATACTTACTAGTTTTAACTTCAATTAACTTAATTTACCTTTACTTAACAATAAATGAGTTATTTGTACTCAAATCAAATCTTTTTTCATGTTTAAATTGTTGGAGTTTAATACATTTTAACTGTTCATGGCGATCGGTTTGCTCAAATAGTTTGAGTTTAACTAAATCATCAGGTTTTTACGACAAGAAGAGACGTTCCCTTGCAAAAACAATTTTCTGACAGTGTGTAGAGAAAGGGTCCAAAATGTACTTTTTGGCTCATCTTAAGATGTTGACTACAAACAAGTACCTATGTAATAACATTTATTAACCAGGATCATTAGGTTACCAGGTTCTCTTGCAAAAACCGGGAATGTGTCGCCACGTCTCTAATAAAATGTAAGGCTGATGTTTCTTACGGCAAAACAGTAGAAAAACATTGGGCCTAATGCGAGAAGAGAAATACAAACAAATCTTCTCTTATTAGGACCTGAGCAGTGACAGCTGAATTATTATTTTTTTACTAAATTAATTAAGTTTTTGGCTGCAACAAGCTCGAGAACCCATGAAATACAGCACAGTTCTCTTAACATCAAATTAAGAGAAAATATCAGAGAAATATTGCTGCAGGAGGCCGACTGTGTAGAAAGCACCAAGTTGTACGTAGTAAGCTTTTATTTGATTCTCTGACGCCACTAGGGATGAATCGATACACAATATTGTCACGTATCGCAACAAAAAACAGAAATTTATCGTGGTGAATTTCTATCATCGTGATAATTGATATCCTCACATGGCTTGACTGGAAAAAATGCCCATCTCTCAATACAACACAAAAAAAGGTTAAACTGGATGTGTGGAAATAGTTCAGATTCCAAAATAAAGTACCGGGAGATAAGTTGTCTATCTGTGATGCAATAAGTATATTTTCATGATTATCGTGTATTGCAATTATTCTATATATCGTCCCATGCCTGGACGTCATGGTAGGTACGGTGGACAGTGAGGGTCACATTAGTCATATAAATGTCTTTTTTTTTTTTACCACACTCAGAATTTACTCACATTTGGTGCTTGACAGGTTCTCATTTTGGACCCTGTGTTGGTATATAGATGATGTCCAAATATATTTAGCCATAAAGTTTCCTTTCTCCACGAGCACTCCTCTCTCTCTCGTCTGGTCACCAAGTTTATTTTGCAGCAGTTAGCACAACTGTCAAACTAAGCTGAAGGCCTGTTTAACAACGCAGCTCATCCTCTGTCCACGTTAACGCCAGACATTCTTCTCAGCTCTGAGGCGAATGGGATTTAAATTAAAACGAGCCGTCATCATCTTTCAGTCACAAAGTCAATTTCAGTGCAGCCGGGAAAGTGGGAAAAGTCGAGCCTGCGAGGAGCTGAGCAGCTGATTGTGATGAATATGATGCCTGACTATCTAATAGCTGCTAAAATGAGTCATGTTTGCATATTTCTCAGAGCTTTCCAAATGAACTCTCAGCAACTCGACTGGAGGTTGATGGGAGGGACTGCAGGCAGAAATCTTTATTCATTAGGACTCACATTCAGCATTGTTTCCATTCATTACTCCTACGTAGTTAAAGGAGATTTTAATAGTCCAAATCTTGAATTAAAGCAGATTATGAAGCAGATTCTCTCAGACAAAGAAAGAATAAGCCATTTGTTCATTACATAATTTATTGGATTTGTGCTGATTAAGTGATAAAATAATGAATAAGTGCCTTAAAGGGTCCAGTGTGTAACATTTAGGAGGATCTAAGCATTGTGCAGTCAGGTCAAAGTATGTTTCTAAAATAAGCTACAGACAAAAATAGTCTTCTCATAATAATAATAGATTCAAAAAGTTGTTTTTAGTTCAGTTCAAAAACTATTCATTTAACAGCCATCAGCTTACACTGTAGGCTCTTTAAGCGCTCCCTGAGTGGCATAATGAATGAAGTTGTGAGAGATTAAGATGTGAAATGTTAGCTGGAGGACGATGTTGCAGACTGTTGCTGAAATGCTGAGTCCTGTCTAACGGTATTCTCCTTGGCTCAGCTGTGGATGCAGTCAGCTGTAATGGGACGGAGTCAGCAGTGAGGGTGTCAGAGAGCGACTCCTCTAACGCACAAAACAATCAGGACCGGACATTCACAGGAACGTGTGTGTGCCTTTCTGTTGTAAGAGTGATTTGATATATTTATACAGGTTAAGATGGAGGCTTGTTTTGGTCTTTGGCTCCACAGAGGGACATCTGAAAGCTCCAGTGGATGCACACCTCCTGTGGAGAAATCTCATCCCCTCTAGCCCCAGGCTGTCCGTCTGGCCTGCAACCCCCCCCACCCACCCACCCCTTCTTCTTCCTCCACACACACACAC